TACTGGCCCCTGACCTTTGAAGAAACCTGGCACTCTAATGGAAATCAACCAACTTCACATCCAAATGTAAACTGAAATGATTAGAGTTAGAGTAAGTTTCAAAATGTCGAGAAACTCAGATACAGCATAACTTTTCTTCAGAGTTGTACTTCACTGTTAATTTGAGATATGTTTATTTCTGACTAGTGAATGAAGTCATTCTGAACGGGAGTTGTGCATGCTCATTAGGGTGTGAATACAGGTATAATAACACCTCACTGTCCTTTTCTGTTCTTGTCAGTCTCGTTAACTTATGGAATTACTGACCCATGAGTCATCGAGTCATTCAGTTGGCAACGAAAATAGATATTAGATTAATATTTTTCTTCTGTTTGTTGATCACACTAATTGAAAGGATGTTTCACTTTCTGTGACTGTATTAGTTACTAATAGAATGTTTTAATTGCTCATATGTTTATTATGCTGCTGGCAGGATATTTCCTTGCATCGGAAACCAACAAAGTACCTATAAAGTACATTTAATCAAAATACCTTTTATTATTTTCTTTGGGATTTGATAAGATCAGGTTAAATTTTAACTAACCTTTGAACTGAATATCGCTGGTGAAGAATAGATGTTTGAATCATGGAACATATTAGCACGCTGATAAATCTCTCTGAAAGTTGGCCTCTGAAAAAATTGATGATATTCATCACCTGTGGTGTCCATCACTCAAGTATGCATCCATTTTTAATGCTCTTGGACTTGGACTGCATTTCTCTACCACCTGTAGTTTGGTTCATGTCTGAAACCCCTTTTGGTTCAAGCAAGGTCCTTACAGGAATTAATTTGTTCCATTCAAGAAAACATCTCAAATGTGTAATAATATGAATCTGTAAGTCTAGTATAGAGTTATGAAAATCTCCAAAACACAAAATTAGTTTCATATATATATATCATTCATACTGGTGATGGCTTAATGAGCTATAAAAAAACAAAGACAGTGAGACCTGGAACATTCAGCTTACAGATGTTTTGTCTCTGAGAATTAAAGTAGTGTAGAAATATGTCAGTTTTACAGTACATCACACGTCTTACCCATCTCAATTTGCAGAAATTGTTGAAGCGGCGAGCACGGCACAGCCGTGGGCTAGGTGTCTTCGAAGGTGTGTGGGGCGAACCGGAGAACTGTCAGGTGGTGCTCAATGTGACCCTCTCCCCAGAGTGACGGGGGCAGAGCCACTTCCTCCAAACGTATTCATCTTCGGGAGCAGATGCGTGGGTTGCTGCAGCCTGTGGATGCCAAGACACTAATTAAATAAGGAACGAGCCAGCCTTTGTCTGGAAAAGTACCATGAGGGGAGTTTCGCTTCAATAGTGTGAAAACATTTGAATGTAGGCTACTGATCAAATTGGAAATAGCTGTGTGCTTTGACATTGATATGCATATGCCATTGCCATCGCATTAGATGATGGGATGGGCCTTGTGAAAGAGGTAGCGAGTCTTCGGCATGACATAGCATGAGGCAAAGTTAAAATAGGTTTATTAAATAATACGTTGACACAAAATAGGTTTATTAAATAATACGTTGACACAAAATAGGTTTATTAAATAATACATTGACACAAAATAGGTTTATTAAATAATACGTTGACACAAAATTAAAGTCGGGAAAATATTTATAAAAAGACAGACAAAAACAAATGAAACACACTGAACGTATATCAAAGAAAAAGAACAGGTCTAAGCATGTATTCCTGCCAAATAACTCACTTGGCACAGGTGGAGTCTACCAGAGTCTCACCAGCCTCCCCATGTGCAATTCCAATACGGTCTGAATGTGACGCAGTATTTTCCAGGAAGTAGCCTTGTAGTTTTTTAACTTTTGTAGGCTTTTTAAATGGTTTTCAATGGGCAAAAACGTAGAAACTTAATAAAAGGCATCTGTCAGAAGTAAATGCATTCACAAACACAAATATAATTGTATATTGTAGCGATCCTCGCTCTATGAGCTACGTTACAATTCCGACCAAATGGGTTAAATCTATTGGCGCTACGCGTATGGTGTTTACCTTTTACGCTAGCGACCCGGGTTCGCTTCCCTGCCCCACCATTCGATACATTGGTGTCAGAAGTAGGATGGTGGCCGTGAGGCCCTCGGAATGCACAGCCCGGATGTGTGAGGGGGCTGAGTAGTCGAAGCATGGGTATGTGCCTTACCGTTCAGAGAGGGCAGTGTAGCGATCCTTGCTACATTATGTGAGTGGCGTTAAAATTGGTGGGTTAACCCTATTGGTGCGATGCGTAGACCACGTTTTCACAAATGTGATGATATCATTGCCAAGCCCATTCAAAAGATTATAGGGGACTGACACTGGAAGTATGACACAGTGCTGTGTCACTTTTACCTACCGGCATATCAGGCATATTCATATTCAGGTCCACCGTGGAAACGTGGTTTTATGGTTCAGTTACATACACATGACATGGTTGATATAGCCAAGGTCTATACTGTAGAAATGTTCCTACAATTGTATTACATTGATTGTGTTATAATATCTTAACTTTTTTTCAGAGGGTAGGCCTACAGGTTGCCTGCCTAACCCTAACCCTGGCTCTGTCAAAGGACATCTGCTAACAGAATATGATAAAAATTATTTAGGCAATAATGATGATATGATGATCTCCTTCCAGAGATGGCTGAGGGGAGAAGGGAGGCCAGCGGTAGCGGCAGCAGCCTTGGCAGACAGTGGTCAGACTCAGGGTGGAATAGAAGCAGCAGCATGTCATCCTCCTCTCCTAGATACACATTGGAGGAAGAGCTGGTGAAGCAGTACAGCCAGCAGTTCAGTACTACTACAAGCCCTTCAACATCCTCCTCTCCCCTCTATCTGCCCAGGTAACCTGTTCAGATGTTTTTGTAATGTTGTGAATTGAATTCAGTAGATGTACTGTTACATGTGTTGTAACTCTATTTAGAATTAAATGACCTAACATCCCTGTGCACTTCATCTCAAGTTGCAGTAGGGTTTGTCCTAATACTGTAACGTTAGTTCCAGTATACTTTTTGGTGCTCTGAACTGGGTTGACCTAGAGTGGACTCCTGTGATGTTTGCTTGTCTTTCATCAGCAAAGTGGGCAAATCTCCCAAAATGCATTATAATGCTGAGGCCTTTTTTGTATTTAGCGCAACACAACCAGGTCAACATGTCCAGAGAGACCCAGGCTGTTTGTACAGTAATTACGATGAGATTTGGCACTCAAGGTTGTTTGTGGACGTTTATCAGCCTGTGTGTCTCTGCCCAGCATGGCAGAGCCTGCACCTAAGGTGAAGATCCATGATGCCCCTTGAATAGACCATTGAAGAACCTATTATTCACAAAGAGCACCAACCACTTGTAATTCAAGTAGAGTGGGCAGCTTTGTCCCCCAGTTTTCCCATTGTTTCTCACCGACATACGTGCCCCCCAACCCAGACTGAGCGGAGCGGAGGGCCTCTACTGACACTGGGGGGAGTGGAGAGAAAGAAAGGAAGAAATAAAGAAAGAGGGTGAGAAGATCCAGAGAAAGGAAGAAGAAAAGAGTGTCTATGTCCCAGCATCCACCAGAGGGAGGAATGTGGAGGTCTTGGCTGGCTGCCAGGCTATTCGGCTGATATCTCCGTCAGGATGGGGGGCCCTTTGATTTTCCCTTTACAGTGACATGTAACACAAGATGGCTTACCCCCTACTTGTCAGCGAGTGAAAGGGGACCAGGGAGAGAATGCACTTATTGCAAAGGTCCCTGTAACACCTGCGATGGCACAGACGTAGCTCAGCAGAGCATGGAGAGAAAGGGACACGTGAGTAATGACGGATTAAAGAGTTATGTCGCAGCGTGACACACTGTGTCCACACAGAATTACCAGCCAATGCAAATTTCTCACAATAGTCCCCTGGGCAGAATGAAGGGAGAGGTAGAGGAGAGGAGTTTGACTGACAGCCATTTGGCTGGGAGCCAGGGGGAACGGCGCCATCCCTGCCAACTGTCGTTATCCATGGGGTGAACTCACCGACAGAGTGCTGCCTCGTAGGCCCAAACCACATACCTATCCTGGAGTAAGTGGTCACATCCTGGAGTTGTTGTTTTGTTTTTCAATAGGATCTCTGGCCTCATGGGGGAATTGTTCCTCAGAGCAGGCAAACTGACTAGAGTGGGAGTTACAGTAGGTAGCCCCACTGTCTTGATGCTGCATCAAAGGAAATGTTTTCAGAGATATGAAGGACTGGTGTGATCTACTATTGCAACATCACATTACTTTAACATTACTTTAAGTGTTCCTTTTCACCATACTTAATCACACACATTTAAAAATAATCCTTTTTAATTTGAAAGGATTTCTCATAGCTTTTGTAAAGTACAGTATGAAATAAGGGTAGTCTTTTATTGTCTTGCTGTGTTCTTCTGATTGCAGACATTCCTCCTCGCCATATGCTGGCAACAGGAGGTCTTGGAGGACGAGTGGGAGAAAGCACCATAAAGGAGCGGTCAAGTTCAGGACTCCCACCCCAGGGAGGAACGCCCATAGCGCCTCTGTCTCTGGACTCCTGTACCTACAACTATAATGTATTTCCACCTAATCCATAACACAGGAGGTTGGTGGCACCTTAATTGGGCAGGATGGGCTCGTGGTAATGGCTGGAGTGGAATTAGTGGAATGTTATCAAATACATCAAGCACATGGTTTCCATGTGTTTAATGCCATTCCATTTGCTCCGTTCCAGCCATTATTATGAGCCGTCCTCCCCTCAGCAGCCTCCACTGATCCATACCATCCCCAAGTCCCATCTACTATAGTGTATTACTGTACTATGGCTATGGTACTGATGACATTACATACTGGGTAGGAGGAGATGATTTCTACAAAACTAAAGAACAAATCCTTTTAAATATCAACTTAATGTACTGAAATAAATGTGTGTATGGTGTGTGTATGAATGTTTTTTATTTCTCTATATTATTTTATATGTCTTTATTAAGAATCAGATCTGCTGGGAAGCCTCCCGTCGTTATACGCCAGCCACATACAATCAGAGTGATTGCCTACAAGAATGGGACAAGAGAAACCTCTGCTAAAGTCACAGCTTCTAACATAACCACGGTGAAGTTCCTCTCTACCTTATTCACAAATGTTTTCTTGAAAAGACTAACTAAGAGCTTGACATTTTGTATTCATATCAGGAGGGTCAAACTCATTTTGTCCCGGGGCCCGCATTCGGTCTACAACGAGGTCCGGAGGGCCGCACTGAAAAGTGGTTATATTTCCTCTATCCATCGTTTTTTAATTTTTTTATGCTCTCTGACTGTCTAGCTTTCATTTTGGTTGTTTTTTAGCGAGCTGGACACAGTCAATAACTCTATGAATGTAGGTCCTTTATCATTTCAACACAGTTTCGATTTGGTTTTAGTCATTTTAAAGTATATTGAGTTTATTTTAATTCAAACCACACTCTGGCTGGATTGGACCCTCTCGTGGGCACAGCTGATTTATACAAAACCCCCTTGAATCCTAATGATACTTGTTCCTTGTTGGTATTTCAGCTTCAGGAGAACACATCTAAACTGAAGCTGAACTCTGCAGCCAGAAGGATCTTCCTGTCAGACGGTACAGAGGTTTCTCTACCTAAGGACCTGGTCATCGATTTAGAGGCGTTCGTCTCAATGGGAGAGGCTTTCCTGGACCCACAGAGAGAAATCTGAGGTATGGAGCCCCAAGCTAAACCCACAGCACTGCTTTCATCAATAGGGAAGAGTGGTTAATCACTATTCAGACATGGGGGAGCTGAAGAGAAATTCTACTTAGCACAATACCATGCAGTCAGTCGGGTTAGCATCAGGTTGTATTTTAATCTGAAAGATATTTTGATTTCTTGGAAGAGCATACATTAAGAAAAAATGTAGTGTGAATTGTCCTATTTTTTGAATATTCACTCATTTCTAAATAATGTAATAAAAAATCTATGTAAAGACTATGCATCCAGTTACAGAGAACAACTGATTAGAAACCATATTGAGATGTTCCTCTAGTTAAAATTAATTTTTACAAAGAGTGGTTTCAAAAGTTCATGTGCCATTTTATCCTGGCCCCGGAGATGCTAAAACTGTGCCATCCACAGCTAAGTTTATTTATGAGAAATTTGTCGAGCGCCAAGTTGAAGCCCGGAACTTCTGTGCTGCAGCTGTGTTTCCTTGGCTGGGTTTCATGGCGACACGCACTGCTGTTCTCCAAGCGCCATGATGCCGGCGCCATTGGCACGACACACTGAGGCTTTGCACCGGCTCTTTGCTGGATCAGCAAGCTTAACCCAGCGAAATCTGGTGCAGCACGATGGGTCTTGACGGATAATCAATCTTGCGCGATCCTCGACAGTTGTCACTGGGACAGAGAGAGAGGGAGTGGAGCAGGTGGCAGATGGGCCCTGTCTGCAGTGATCCGAGCTGCTAGATGTGTGTGTGCCCAGGCCGGGAAGAGTGGAGGGCACAGCCCAGAATTAGCACACCTCAGTTAGGAACTGGGAGGAGGAGAGGGTCCTAGCAAACTCAGAGTAGGGGCAATAAAGACAATAACCCCTCATTTTGTGGGGTGACAAGGCTAGACCTATGGTCTGGTGTGACATGTATATTGTAAAAGTGAAATGAACTTGTGATTTCTTGTACTGTATCTGGGGATATGATCTAACATATTCTCTACCTTTTGATCCTTGTCTTTGATTCATGTTCCATATTGACTCTGAGAAATTAAAGGGCTTCATAAGCAAGAAAGAAAGAGAATGAAATATAAATTATGAATAACTCAAAGAGAGTTTTATTTAAGACAAATAGTCCAACTTGAGGCTGTCATTAACTTCAATTCACTCCAAATTAAAAGTATATGTATGACGTGTGTTGGAGCCTCTCTGGGCTGAGTGCAGGGCCACAGTAACGGGAAGCGGCTGCCACAGGTGTGAGGTGTAGGGCTGTCAGGGAGAGTTTTCCACTGTTTGGCCATGTAGCTGATGTATTGTGACAGGCCGTGATTGACACAGGGAGGTGTGACTGGCGAGAGGCAGCCGTCGTCTGTTTTGTTGGCGAAAGCGACATGTTTACATCGCTCTAATTGCTGACTTATTTCGACGTTGGAACGGCGGCAGTCAGGGAGCCAGGTAGGGCTGTAACACTCCACGCGTCACACACAGGCAACGCTTAATTGCTCTGTCATTTTCTGTACTTCAGGATGAGCCAGTGTGCTGCTAAATGAAGCATGGCTGGCTCCAGCCTTGTGCAGCAAATGTTCTCCAGAATGTTCCCCGCTTCTTTTTTATCAAGCAGCGTGTACAGTAAAATAAGGTGAGGTGAGACAGACACTCATGTGGAGTGTAATTGCAATATGGTTCCACACACTTCTTTTCCTACACTCTGAGGTTCATGACCTTTTCTCGCATCACAAAATAACAAATGAGATGCTTTGTTTGTTGTATATTTGTTTATATCTTAAATTACAAAGAAACTTCTTCACTTGAAACTTACATCAAAATGGTATTTACTGGTGATGTAATGATACATTTAGAATTTGGGAAAAATGTGAGCCTTTGATAGTTGAAAAGGCATCATCATTTACCCATATTTAGTTAAATGTTCAGGCTGTGTGTGTATCTGTGTGTGTGTGGGCGGCAGGTAGCTTAGTGTTTAAGAGTGTTGTGCCAGTAACTGAAAGGTTGCTGGTTCTAATCCCCGAGCTGACTAGGTGAGAAATCTGTCAATACGCCCTTGAGCAAGGCACTTAACCCTAGTTGCTCTGGATAAGAGCGTCTGCTAAATGACTAAAAATGTTTTTTATTTATTTTATGTATCTGTGTGTGTGTGTGCGAGACAGTGGGTTTGAGGTGAGGCTGAGACTCACACCGGCCTTGTATGGGACTCACCTGGGAAAAGTCTTGAAGAATGTGCTACTCCTCCCTTTAGTGCTGCGGCTCTGTGCTCCCTCTGACAGGTTGATTGGCACAGCTAATGGGCTGCTCCTAATGAGGGCCTGAATGTCATGTCTGTCACAACCAGACCATGCCAAGTTATTAAAGGCAGCATTCTCACACGTCAAGCCCCAGGGCTTCCATAACACCTCTAGTAACCTTTCATGGCCTGTGTTTGTTTTAATCTCCCTCTCATAGAAAACATTGGCAATCCCCATGGTAGTTAACCTGTGGATGTACTGCATCTCTCACTCAAACACATCAGTGTTCCAGACAAAAGCCTATGTGTGTCAGTTACCTTTTCCTCAAGAGTTACAAAATGTAATCCGATTAAAAATCAGCCACATATCACAACATTGAAGCAGGTGGACCTGATCTTTCTGTAAACAAACTGCGGTAGAGTCAACTTGAAACGATAGAATGACATCTGAAAATACATACAATTGTTGATGAGCAGATTGAAAAACTAAACATTCTCTAAAGATGTTAAACAGAGAGCCCTGAGATGTAAATGTAATGGGATGTATGGGAAAGAGGGTAGGAAGATGTGCCAAACAGTTTACTGTAAGTGGTTAGATGTTTCCATAAAGATGGCCTGGCCTCCTGCTGTGGTGGTGTTCAGGTAATCATGTGGGATGACTCCACACACCAGGGGAGGGAGGGTTAGGGGGGCGGCTGTGGCCTGGGGGGGAAGGAGTCCCTTCCAACAAACACAATATTGAATCAGAGGGAAATAATCAGTTGATTAGTGGCAGAGGCATGCTAAGGTGAATTTTAATTAGGGCTAAATCGTGGTAGTACTCCCCGATACCCGTGGCATCTGGTCCCTTCAGGAGCAATGATTTATGGTGCCTCAGCACAGCCAGCCTGCTGCAGCAGCTTATGTTAGGCTTAGTGGGAGATGACAGTACTGCTGCTATGATACACACCACCATGTGTAGGATGGCCCCTGTATGTTGAGATGGAGTGATCACAGAGAGAGAGAGAGGGATAGGAAGATAGCGAGGGGGGAGATAAAGGGTTGTTACTGATTTTCGAGCCAAACCGTGTGTGTGTGTGTTCACCTGTCCTCCTCATCAGCCCATCTGTCACTGTGTGAGCAGTTGCACTGGACGCTGGAGGGGGTGGAGCTTCCCGTGGACCAGGGGCGGGGTCGCACCAAGGCCAGCCTCTCCCGCCGGATAAAAAGCCTGTGCCAGGCCACGCCCACCCTGAGGGTTCTGGTCCTTCGGAATGGGATGGGCAGTGCCAGTGGGGGTGCGAGGTGTCCTCTGCCACTGACCACTTAAAACAGGTAAAGTCCCTCTCCCACAGCAGGAGGCTGTGAACCTTGGGGTTGTGTTAACTATCACTCTGGGTGGGGCTAATTGCATGTTTCTGGTCATTTGGCTTGTTCACATACTGTATGTTTTATTGAACTAAGATGATTCCAATAGAATAATGATGTATGATATTTGTTGGAGTTTGAGATTTTTTATGTGTGTAATACTGGTTGTATTTGGCATTAATAATCAAACTGAAGTGGACATATTAGCTAATGTTCTCAATTACCTCAAAAGTGGGGGAAAATACAATAATTTTTTTCTGTGCAATGAAGGAAATCCCCTGGCTCATGGAGCTGCCCCAGATGAAATGAGTAAAGTTTAATGAAGAGCTTTGATCTGTGAAGTGGAACCCCTCTTTTTGGGGTCAGCTGATCATCCAGTAGGTTGGGTGAATTTACAGGGCGTTAGGATTCCTGTTCTTTTCTTCCTCCCCCAGTGGGTGTGAAATGTCAACTAATCTAATCTGCGCCTAATCAGAGTCCACGAACTGGCTGAGGGGATCCAACTGGAACAAAGTCTGTGTGTGTGAGTGTGTGTGTGCGTGCGTATGTGCGTGCATGTGTGCGTGTGTGTGCGTGTGTTTGTGTGTATGAGTCATATCAAATCAAATGTTATTTGTCACATACATGCAACTGGTGTAGACTTCACCATGAGTTGCTTGCTTACGAGCCCTTCCCAACGATGCAGAGTTTAAAAATAATAAGGTATTTCAGGTAGAAATGTACATGAAGGCTGGGTAAAGTGAATAGGCATCAGGATAGATAATAAGAGTAAAATAAAGAGCCGATGCACCGTTTGCCGGATGGCAGCAGAGTGAACAGTCTATGGCTTGGGTGGCTGGAGTCTTTGGCAATTTTTCGGGCCTTCCTCTGACACCGCCTGATATAGAGGTCCTGGATGGCAGGGAGCTCAGCCTCAGTGATCTACTGTGCTGTCAGCACCACCCTCTATAGCGTTTTGCGGTCAAGGGCAGTGCATTTGCCATACCAAGCGGTGATGCAGCCAGTCAAGATGCTCTCGATGGTTTACATTTACATTTTAGTCATTTAGCAGACGCCCTTATCCAGAGCGACTTACAGTTAGTGAATACATTATAATTTTTTTATACTGGCCCCCCGTGGGAATCGAACCCACAACCCTGGCGTTGCAAACGCCATGCTCTATCAACTGAGCTACATCCCTGCCGGCCATTCCCTCCCCTACCCTGGACGACGCTGGGCCAATTATGCGCCGCCCATGAGTCTCCCGGTCGCGGCCGGCTGCGACAGAGCCTGGATTCGAACCAGGATCTCTAGTGGCACAGTTAGCACTGCGAAGCAGTGCCTTAGACCACTGCGCCACTCAGGAGACACATTGGTGGTGCAGCTGTATAACTTTTTGAGGATCCGAGGGCCCATGCCAATTCTTTTCAGTCTGTGTAAGGAGACA